TTTTCAAAAATAATAAAACAATTTCCGCGTTTCGCATTATTTATGCACAGAGCAGGATCATTGAAAAAGCAACGTTCAGGAAATTATCTCACTTTGTTTATTTTAGGTGTGGGGGAGGGGAAGAATATTTTCATATAATTTAGAAATTCGTTACAGTATTTTGATTATTATATACAAACATTTTTCGAATTAACTAATAGTAGTAGTAGTAGTAATTATAATAGTAAAGATAATATTTTTAAAGCTTAGGGGGATCACATACACGCACACGCTTAATATTAGAGATAAACAAGTTTCAAGATAAAATGCAGCTCGATTTCTCGGGTATGTTCCCATCGGCCTTCTCGATCTCCTTAATCAGCAGATGAAAAATATCCGAGACGGCGGCGTTCTGCTTGGCGGACGTCTCCAGAAAGGCGGCGTTCCACGATTCCGCCAACTTCTTGCCCTCCTCCATCGAAATGGTCCGTTCCATGTGCAAATCAGTCTTGTTCCCTACCAGGATTATGGGGACGTGTCCCTTCCCTGTGATATCCAACAGCTTCTCGTAAATCACTTGGACCACTTCGAATGACTTTGAGCTGGTGATGCTGTAGACGAGCACGTAACCGTGCACGTCGATGCTGTACTGCGATGGGAATATAGAGTATTCATCCTGGCCGGCCGTGTCGACCAGCTTCAGTTCGTAATCCTGCGAGTTCACCCTCGTCGACTTCGTGAAGGTGTTCTCGATCGTCGGATCATACGAATCGACGAATTGCCCCTCAACGAACTGTATGCTAAGCGAAGATTTTCCCACGGACCGATAACCCATCACCGCAATCTTACGTTGCTTGGGCGGCATTTCAAACGCAGCAGCAGCAGAGTTTATAAATCAATTAAAGACTCATCACGGAAAAGATGTGTAACCTCAAAAACATATATAAACGTCACGGTGACAGTAGCAATCAATTGCAACTGTATGCAACCAGATTATCTTTATTTATAAATTACTGTGTACCACTACTAATATCTAGATTAATAATATCTATTGGGAATCTTCTTTTCTTTTTTGCTTGCCGCGAAGGATGGCCGCTTTGAACAGTTTGCAGTAAAGGGATATGGCGCTTTGGGAATCGTCGTTTCCGGGGACCGGATAAGTGATCATATTCGGGTTGCAATTCGAGTCGACGATTCCGACAGTGGCTATCGCCATCTTAGCTGAATCCCTAATTGCTGTGTGCTCGATTAGCACATTGTTCAAAGTGTTCATAAATATGCACAGGTCGGGTAAACGGGTGACAGCGCCGAATTGTTTGTTGGCATTTGTGAAAATACCTCCTCTCCAGAAGCGAGTGTGTGCATACTCTCCACACTCCATCGCTGTCCTTTCCACCAAATGCATATTCTGTGCCCCTCTGTGGAAGAACAGAATGAGTCCCTCACGGTACGCAACGTGAGCGGTGACATTCAAAGCTTTCCTCAGGTATTCTGCAGTGGTATCCAGATCAAAGATGGTATGTCCGAGGCGAGAGCCGTAGATGAAAGGAACCATCTTCTCATTGAGGGAACCCAGCTTATGTCCGAAATGCACTTTAGCATTGAACAGATCTTCAACGGTGAACAGATTATGCACGTTGAAGTAATCCGGATGCTTCAGTATCTCCTGTTCTTTATCCACAGCTGAAAGCGAAAGACAGTTCATAGTATCCATTGACTTTTAACTTAACCTAAAAATTACTTATAGATTCTTCGGGGCTCGCTTGGACGGCCGTCCCCAATTCCCGGATCTGCACCCTCCGCAGCACTCGCAACACTTTCAACGTATTCATCATTAATTCGCGTAATTAAGTTAAAAAAAAAACGAGTCTTTTATTATTAAATATAAATAAACATCAGCGCCGATCACGCTCGCGGTGATGTCTGCAGTACAGCCAACATTAAGAAAAGTCCCTACATATATAGTTTTCTTTTAAATAAATTGCAATAATTTAAAATTAAAATTTGTCCTCATTTGTCCTTTTTATCTACACGATGTTCCTCTTCTAATTTCACTCCAGGTTCCTCCGGTTTATTGGTTTCCGGTATTTCTACTGGGGTCGTAGTATCCTCGGTATCATTGCATTTCTTGAAGAATTTTCCACCCGCATATCCGGCAACCCCACATCCAACAGCTGCAATTCCACCAACCTTGAATCCTGCTACCAAGCCCAGCGGTCCCCCAAGCAACGTCCCTAACAAAGCCCCCGTCATCGGATAAGCTGCAGTCTTTAATCTACAATAGATGGAATTAATTTGATTGAACATCAATTCAAACTGATTTAAACTTACTTTGAAGCTTTCATGAGGCTCTTCAAGCCTTGATTTACGCTCTCCTGAGTTCCCTCAACGTTACTTTCAATCACGTCAACAGTCTCCGCCTGCTCCCCAACCATCTGATTCAGATTTACGTACATCCCTTGCAGATCCTGCACATCCACCTCTAAAGCTTCCACCTTCACCATAGTATCAATCTTGTCCTGCAACCTCAGATCCTCAATGTTCGCGTGAATCTGCAACTGCCCAGCTGCCTGAAATGGGTTCTCATTCTCAATGTTCTCGTTGACCTCATTCTGGGCCTCTATCAAATGCGTCACTTGCTTCTCCAGTGCAGAGTACTCTTTCAAGAAACGTGCAATCAGTTTCAGAGATTGCACAGTTTTCTCATCAAACTTACCCAAGTCAATGTTCTGCACTTGGGCCCTCAAAGTGTCCAACTCATACTGAAGATCTTTCAGCTGCCTAACAATTTTCTTTTTATCCCGAATCTCCTTGACCAGCTGCTCTGTTTTGTTACCAGATATAAGCTAGAAAAAAAAAACTTCTAAACATCTAAACTTGTACATGTTTCAAACAATTACCTTCTGGATTGTTTTTTGGTGCTCCTCGAAGAGATACTGGTGATGGGGCACAGCCTCCTCATTGAATTTGTTCAGGGGGATTTCTATCACTTTGAAGGGCTGCTTCGGACACGCACTCATTGTGGATTTGGAAATGCACTTTTCAAGATGTTAACAGCTACAAGAAGCCAGATGTTTACATTGTGTTTCTGTTTACACTTTGTTCAGCAATTTTGGTTATGTTTTGAATGTCAGCGTGACGTAGGACGGGCCAATAATAGAGGGCAACAAGCGAAAGGTCGAATCGAGATTCCGCACGTGTTCGTACAGATGTCGCCACCGTAATTGAATTTAACATTCAAAAGTAAGAGAAAAGAATAAATAAATGATACAGAAACTAGTAAAAAGAAACAAATATATTTCAATTTAAAAGTACCACGCAGTATTTATTGTATACTGTTGAAAGAATTCCAAGAATATTTCTAAAATTAAACGTTATTATAAATATATAAGAATTCAGTAGATCTGAATGTACTTTTGGTAATCATTTATGGAATTTGGAGGATGTACAAAAGTAATTTCATAAATGGTGCGATATTTATAATAGATAGAGAAAAAGAAAAAAGTATAAAAGAAGATTGGAGATTCATGTTCGTATTGAGAGAATTTGATGAAATGAAAGAGGTGAAAAAAAGGAGCGTTTCTCATATGGTTATCACGGCATAAGTGGAATTCTAAATGAGCGAAGAAGTGCATTGTGATAATACGCGTTTAAATATGGGATTAATGGCAGTTCTGCGGAATATCTAGGGAGCGAAAGAAAAAAAAAGGAAAGAAGAAGCAACAACAACTAAGTAAATAATAAAGGGAAAAAAAATGGAGATGCAGAGAACAAAAAAAAAGGCAAAAGAAGAAAAACTGCAGTTTTCTGCAGAAGGCATCGATGGAGGAGGAGAAGAAGTGACGACGAGAAGTACGCAGAATACGGAATATAGTAAAGCACCTGTTGCTCGGCGCGTACACTTCTATTGGAAAAGGCTATATTTGTAAGCGAAGTTATTCCGCGCAGCCTTTTACCTAGTTTGGGAGATTCGCGTCTTACCGAGAAGAGCATATTTACTTGATGCGAAGAAGCGTTACGCGTCAACTGGAGATACAAGAAGATGTTGATGATGATGATATGATGGATTTCGTATGTCCAAGAAAATTCGACAGAGGAATATGGAGGTCGAATGGATGATGATGGAAGGTAGAGACAAAGAGCGGAAGAATGAAAGGGTGAGAGCGCGTGCGACGGACGACGGTCTGTGCAGCCGTTCATCCGTCCGTCGCGCGAAACGTAATCGGCCAATAAAAATTAAACGGCGAATGCTTCGGCGCCTTTCTGCTACCAAAAGAAACGGCGACAATGATGGAAAGAAAGGAAAGGAAAAACGGAGCAATCCCAGATCGACGGAGAGGCATAAATCGCCACCGGAATTGCGTTATTATGGCGATATCGCGTCGCGCAGATTCAGAGATTGCCGCGAGAGAGACTCTCTTAAGACCTTCTTTGCAGCTTGTGTTCCCTCTGTTATTTGTTTTCTCTGTCCACTCTGTCTTTCTCGGACCGATCGAATCGAATAAAATACAAACACTAAGAAGCTTAGATTGTGCCAGATCCAAGTAGGGACTTGTAGGAAATCAAAGGACAAACAACAAAGAGTGAAGAGAAAAGAAAGATGAGAAGGAACATTAACATAATATTGAATATATCTCAAAGTTTATGAGTGTACGAAATTTGTATTGGCATTTCAATGCGATTCGGTGGAAAAAAAATCATTTATTATTCGTTGCGCAATCAATCGACCTGTTGTAGTCTGTACTCCAATTTGTTCTTTTATTTGTTTTCTTCATTTTTATATGTATATATATATGTGTGTGTGTGTGTGTGCTCCCTTCATTATTGGAATTCGAGCGAACGTGTTTACATTCTCACGAGATGCGCTCCCACGTAGATTGCGCGACGCTATTCCGATTTTATTTATTTTTTACTGTTTCACTTCTCCTTCATACTCACATTCATACATTCGTCGTCGTCGTCTCTCTTCTTTTCCCTGCTTTTCCTAATACATGTAAACAATTCCGAAACGCCCTCGCTCTTCCTCTCATTCACCTCTCAATCTCCTTTCGTGCACACCGCACGCATATTTATCTTGTGATACTCTACGCGCCCTGTTTTTTTTTTGTTGATCTACTCCTTACCAAAAGCTACAACAAACGCCGACGCATCTGATAAGCTGCACATCTTTTTTCCTCTTTTCCCATCGATACTCTTCATGAATCATGATTAATCCAAAGTTGCATTGGAAGTAATGTATAAATTGCGAAACTAAATTACATTGTTATAATTACATGAAAGTTGCAAATGTAAATTATATAAATTACACTTGAAATGTATGATTATTCGAATGCGCGCTTGTGCGCTTTGCGTAAGCCATAATTTTAATTGAATAAAGTTTAATTAATCAATTAGCGGTCGCGATTCGTTTCGAAACGATCTCTTAAATAGCCCGGTAAATTATAAACGCTTTTATTTAATTATCCGTACTAATGATTCTCTTGGGCAATAAAAGCCCACGAAACAAATTGTTCACATACATTTTCCATACACACACACTGGAAAATATTAGCAATTAAAACGCGGCATCGATATTAGCTCGTAAAACGATTTACTTTAACGTCCAGATTGCGGCATTCTTAGCGCTGTAATAAACCGATGGAAATTATCTTATTATATATTTTTTTTCGCGTCGTTTCGTGGGCGTCTCGAAAAACAGGACCACTCGCTGCGACTGGGTGACAGACGCCCACGCTCGGATGAGGAAAGAACATCTTCATAGCTTAACATCTTGAGATGAGATGAGTAAGAAATGGAAACGCATTGATTACGAAAGAACGCAAGGAGCGAGATCGAAATCGCAAACTTAATTGAATTATTAATATTCATTTCTTGCTGCCTGTTGTCTGTCCCGCACAAAAACTTTCGCGATTCCTATCTGCGCGCATACATTTTAGAATTGCGCTCGGAGCGAAGAAACATTGAATAAATATGCGTAAGCGTGGCCCATTTTTTTTTTGTGTGTTCTTCGAAGACATATAAATTAATTAGCTCTAATTAATGCAGTCGTTTATTTTTTTTTGTTGTTGTTGTTGTTGTCGTCCAGATTGAGTGGGAATCATCGATCTTGATCTTTTGCCTAGAGCGAGCGACGATTATTTCAATGGACAACAATGTTCGGCTCTGTGTGTTTGCGGAGGGAATCAGTGATAAGGTTTGATTTGCAAACAGCGGTGCAATAAAGTTTCGTGCAAACAAAGATGCATTTTTTTTTGTTGTTGTTGGAATATTTCCGATGGGGATATACCGAGGGGATTTGGAAACTTGCTGTTGTGTTTCTCACGTATAATAAGGGCTCATCTGTGATGATGATACGCAACAAGTAGTAGGGGTCAGAATGTAAAAAACTGAATGAATGAATGAATGAATAAGAGAGTAAATGAAAGAGTTTAGGAAAACAGAAAACAGTGAACAGTGATGGATGGTCATAGAGCTGCGTGCAAAAAAATTCGAACTGCGGCGCTCTGCAGCATGTCAATATTTATCCAAGTGAGCGGCTATCAGGAAGCCCTTACACATCTTCTCTCTCTCTTCATCATAGGCAAACAAATTGCGAGCGAATTTACTTTGTCGAACATCAAGGGACTACCTTTATTAACTTGTTAGTGTGCTTACTTACTTATTTATTTT